GAGAAAGGTTCATTTTGGTTCACAGTGCAAGGATGCAGTCCATCACAACAAGGAAGTCAGAGCGGCAGGAGCTTGAGGCAGCTGGCTACGTGCCACCCACAGTCAAGAAAAGAGACATGGTGTACCCAGTTCTTGGTGTCCCTTCTGTATAGTACTGGATCCTAGCTCAGAGTATGATGTCTCCCACAGTAGGTGGGTCTATCTACCTCATTCAACCTAGTCAAGATAATCCCAGTGACTGTAGATCTCAAGTGACTACTGAATTAACCATCCTAATTCTACCGAGGGTCAGCTTGACAACCAACACATCATTTTGTAGCATCACCTTCACACCCTAGTCTTCAAAGTCTCATGTTCGCTTTGGACTGTATTTAGGCTATCTTCTTTCAAATGAATTTTGGTAGGTGGTGTTTTGCCCTTGAGACACCATTCTTATGTCCTAGTGCAATGCAGGCTTCTTTTCAACAGTGTTGACCCTCTGTAACAATCACAGCTGCTTTCTCAGCACCAGCCTAAATGTTGTCCTGTCTTCAGATGTCTTCTGCCAAATAAGTTAGTCCAATACTTTAAAACCCAACTTGATTTGAGCTCTCAGGACACAGAATGGAACCACATGTTTTACAAAACAAAAACAAAAAACAAAACAAACAAAAAAAAAAAACAAAAAAAACATGAGTAGGCTGTTGAGATGGCACAGTGGATAAAGGTACTTGCCATCAAGACTTAGTCTGATCCCCAGGACCTAAGTGGTGGAAGGAGAAAACTGACTCCACTAAGCTGTCCTCTGAGCTCCACACACATCCATGGCACATGTGTGACCATGCATAAACAGATAGATAAACATAACTTATAAAATCACAAGAAAGGCCCCTATCTCAGTTCTTGATAGCCTTTGTTCATCACTAAATCCTTAGGAGGTAAGCCTCTACAGTTCACATTTCCTGCCAATCTTGTCTTCCAAAATATCCCTGAGAACCACTCATAAGCTCTGCTTTACAGTATGCAATTTCCCAAATCCTTTCACATTCCTCCCGGAGAATCACGAAGTTTATTACAGCAAAGGCCCCATTTCTCACTATCAATTTTCTGTCTTAGTTACCTTCTCTGTTGTTACAGTTAAAACTTCCTAACAAAAGCACCTGAAGGGAGAATGGTCTTATTTTGGCTCACAGACTAGTGTTACAATCCACTGTGACAGAGAAGTCAGAACAGCAGAATCTTGAGGCAGCCGGTCACATGATATTCACAGTCAAAAAGCAGAGAGTGATGAATGCTCCTTTACATACAGTACTGCATCCTGTCCTAGGGAATGGTGCCACCCACATCTTCTCACCTCTGTAAAAGTAACCTTTTATAAATTTTCTGTAAAAGTAACCTTTTTTTTTTTCTTTTGAGACAGGGTTTCTCTGTGTAGCCTTGGCTGTCCTGGACTCACTTTGTAGATCTGGCTGGCCTCAAAACGATCCACCTGCCTCTGCTTCCCTGAGTGCTGAGATTAAAGGCATTTGCCATCACATTCAGTTTGTAAAAGTAACTTTCATTCACCTGAGACTTATTGTCTCTGTCTGGTAACCTATGCGGAGTCTTCAGGCCTCCATACAATCAAGGCCCAGACTGTTTTCAGCCTCTGAGATTTATTGTTGAATAATCTCATCCTTTCTACTTCTTTCTGAGCTCTGTTCTGGCTCAAACTCTTCTCCCAGGTGACTTATTCAATCTGGCTTTTCTCTTGGCCTCTGGATTGCTCTGATTGTCCTGAAACTAACTCCAACAATCTGTTTCAATCTTGTGGCTCTTTCTCATTCTCTTGCTCATTCTGTCTTTACCTGTGTCTAGCCTGTTCTCTCTCTGTAACCTCTCTGTAAAACTGCCTCCTCCCTCCTCTCATGAGAGTTGAGCATATCTTATTCTGTCAAATCTTTCTGATTCGTCACTTTGGCTGCCACTCAAATGGACATCACTTTCAAAATGAGTGCTTCTTTCTAACAAACTAACTTTACCTTCATTGTTTGGGATTAAAGGTGTGTACCACCAAGCCTGGACCTAAGCTTTTCTTTACCTGAAACCTGCTCTATACCAGGCTGGCCTTGAACTCAGATATCTGCTTGCCTCTGTCTCCTGGGATTAAAGGTGTATGCCACCACCATTCAGTGTGTCAGCAAATCACAGAGACCTAGAAGGCCTTTGGATGTGATCTCTTGCCAGAGTAGCCATGTTCTGAATTTAAAATTCCTCTATACACCTCAGTCAACATAATCCCCCACAGATATCCCCAGAGGCCCATCTCTCGAATGACTCTAGATGTCATCAGTTAATAATTGAGATTAACCACCAGAGCCAAGTATTTGTATGTCCTTTATTTTTATCACTAGTTACTTTCCAGAGATGTGGGAAAGCTAAAAAAGTCATCATCCTGAATGCACACATGTACTCTCACAAATGGTACTAGGCACCTAATAGCATCTTATAATAAGATTAGTCAACGAAGGCACTAGCAAATGCATACCTTTGTTTGAAACTAACTCTCCGAGCCCATCCTTGGTCTCACTTGAAACACTGCTGTCTCTATGACCCTGGCTTTCTGTGCTTCCAGGCTTTAATATACACAAAACTCAGAGGTCTTGTTATGATAAAGGTCCCAACTTAGCAGATTTCAGTGATGCTGAGACTAACTAAAGAAAAAAATAAAGAGAAGGCCACTGGCACTTCCAGCTCTGGGCTGTGCCAATCATGTTTCGTGGCCCAGCAACACCAGAAACACAATACTGGCCTCGGAGGTGTTGTAAAGATTAACAGAGAAAAAAGAAACAGGCAAACCGCACGGTGCCCAGCACACCCGGCTCCCAGACACATTAGTCATAGTTATCCTTTTACCACTAATTCTGCTATTGCTCCTGCGATTGTTATTGAAGCAGGCCGACACAACTAGGAAGAGATAAAGGGATAAAGAAATAGAGTTCTGGAGAGAAGTATGCGATAAGATAAGAAAATGTGAGCTAGGGAGGAGGTGCAAGAGAGTGGCCTGAGCAAGCTCGAGGAGGGTGTGGGGCGCTGCTGGGAGTGGACACCGCTGGAAATTACTATAACCACTATCATTTGCTTGGGCTTTAATGTCTGAAAAGCCCTATGCTGCCTACCAGGGATTCTCCAGGCAGAATGTGGGGTTCTGTTTGCTGCTTCACACAGAAGCACAGGTTGGCCTGTCTGCCTCTCCCCTTGAGGTAAAAGAGTGGTGAGAGCAAGACGTGGCTCGTGGAAACCACAATGAACCAGTACTGGCTTGGGATGGCAAGGCAAGCATGGAAGCAGCCTCGGTTGTTAGGAAGGAAATGGCAGCTGCAGGAACTAGTCACATCCTTAAGAGCAGAAGCAGCCTCTGTGACTGCCCTGGGACTAGGCTGGGGTCGTGACCCTGGTGCTCCCCCTCCTCAGATGTGTCTCGTCCCACTTCCTCTCCCTTTCCTATCCTTGTCGCCTCTTCTCAGAGCTGCTTTTAAGAGTCTCTTCACAGGCATCTCTCCACACGTCTCGTCCTTAGTTGCCTTCTGGGTAGTGAGGAGGCTAAGTGACACCTGAGTGGTTCACAGAGGGGCTTCAAGTCACCCCTCCAAACAGAAGGGAAGGACATCCACGAAGAAGCAGGTTTTGAAACCAAATCAACCAAAGGTATGTGGACTGAGCAGTGATTAAGAGGCAAGGACTCCAGGCTAAGAAGTCTGAAGATGATTCTAAAGGGCTTAACTTGGGTCCATGTCTTCTAAGTGTTGATCATTTCAGTCACGATCCTGGATAACCACCACCCCCCCCCAGCTCCAGGCAGAAGTGCTCTAGTTCAGGCCCCCAGGGCACAGCCAGAGACACTGAGAATGTTAGAGTTAGCCCATGTTTCCCACAGTGAGGATGAGGAGCAGACAGGTGGCTGGGCCACCTAACTCCACAACAGAACTCTGTGGGCTCAACTCACTGCACTGTTCTTAGCCTTCCTCAGAGCAGGGCAGCAGAGGCCTGGAACACCTTCATTCACAGAGACGGAAAGGAACTGAAGGTCCTGTCCAGCCCCTGTGGCTCTCAGTTCCAAGCCTTGACCCCTTTTCTCCAGGCACCCCAACAACCTGAACCACTCTCACTACAAAATTTGAAAAGCGACAGTTCAATGTCCATAGAGGGAACAACGAAGTCACTTTCTGACTAGTTCTCTCATCTTTCCTCTGAAGTAAAACACATGAAGGAAAAAATGGCTCTTTTTACATAAAAAAAAAAATATTTTCCTATGTTCCAGAAGGTTTTGGGTTTTTTTACATAAAAAAAAAAAAAAACCATTTTCCCTAGATTTATATTGTTCCCAATAAACAAGGAGCCATCCGCCTAGAAGATGAAGTAGTTTCCCGGGGTGTTAAGTGAATCAGATGAAACCCAGAGTCACTGCATCTCAGCCCCATGGTTCTAGCACTAGCCAGACTCAGAGGCTGCTTGTAAAACATGCTAACTGGCGGCCAGTAGGGGACATTAGAATGTCCTTTGTGACGGTAAAGAGTCACACTACATCCTGATGGCCTGCCTCTCTATAGGCTCATTTACAAAGGACTGGTCCTAAGCACCAAGTTAGCTGGGTCAGGTGGTCCCACCACCACCTTTAGCACAGAGAAAAAACTAAGGCTGGAAAGGGAGAGGTTACTGGTCAGCGATAAATTTCTCCTTGCAGAGTTTTCCTAGCACAAAAAAAAAAAAAAAAAAAAAAAAAAAAAACCAAAAAAAAAAAAAACCAACAATAAAAAAACCACACTAATGCATTATTCTGCAAATGACATAGCCCTATTTAGAGAACAGGGGTGGGGGTGGAGAGAGTAGTGTATTATTTGGCAGCCTGAACCCTTGATTCCGCCTAGCATTCAGTTTATATACACCTCTACGTTACATACAGTGGTTTGGAATCTTGTTACCCACCACCTCACAGTGAAATCAAAGCCCCTTCTCCTCCATTAAGTAGAGAGTGTCCTCACCTGTGAACGCATTTGTGGCCTGAAAACCAGCTTCCTGCATACTGCTCCCCAGACAAGCCTGTGTTTCAATTCTTAAGCTGTCCTGTGATGAAGAAACTGCCTGGGCGAGGCCTCAGGTCACTTCCATCTTAGCCTGTCCAAGTCCATCACTCTGCTGGTCCAGCTTTTGGGAGCATCTGATGCCCTCTGACTGTGCTCCCACACCCCGAGAGCAGGCACTACCGGGATGCTACACAATCCAACAGCATGTAGGACACACACTCTCATCAGCCGTCCAGCCAGAGAGTTGAGGCCATGGTGAGGTCGGGAACAAAGAAGCTGTCCTGCTGAAATCCGCTCTCCCGCCTCAAAGTGAAGGGCTCCTGGGCCTCGCGGTCGCCAACATCTTCCACACAGTGAGCAGGCTCAGCCTCATCAAAATGGTTCACAGGCTGCTCTGATCTGCTGCTCTCTCTGCTTTGCTTCTGTTCTTGCTGAAATTAAAAAGAAAGAAGTCACTTTCTCAAGGGCCTCAGAAACCATTAAGACCAACAGACCTGCTGGGCATGGTGGTGTATACTTATCACCCTGATACCTGGGAGGCTGAGGCAGAAAAGAGTACAGAAGCCAGGCTCAGCAGCATAGTGAGGTCTTGCCTCACAAAAACAGAACAGCAGCAGACTAACAGGCCTACAGAAACTAAGAAATAAAAAGGAACTCAGCCTTTGTGACCATGACCCTTCTGTGAACACTGGGGTAAGGGGTGAGGGAAACCCCCATTTAAAACCCTCATACACCACATACTCCATTTTCTAAGCCACTTTAATAACAGATATAAGATCACAATTTCCAAATGTCTTTCCTTGGGCTACTTAGAACTCACACACACTCTTCAGAAATTAATTTCCCAAAGTCTTAGAAGGGGTTTTAGCTCATGTCAACTGCCATCAGCAGGACAAGAAGGGAAAATTAAGATCCAGAAGAAGGAATTTTTAGAAGTGACTCTTATACTGTGATCAAGTGGAGCTTAACAAATAAAAGATGAGTCATCAGACATCAAAACTCATGACACATCCCACCAACAGAAGACAAATCCAAACAAGTACCTAAACAGAATCAGAAAAAGCATTTGATAAACATCAACATCCCCTCATGAGCATTAGGTATAGAAAGAACACACCTCAGCACAAAGAGGCAATAGGGCTGATACACACACACACACACACACAGCCAATGCCATAGCAATGGGAAAGACTAAAAAAGTTTTAAGACTAGGAACAAGACCAGCACATCTACCTATACCACTATACCTCAACACAACTGCAGAAGAAAGGCAAGAAGAAAAAAAAAAGAAAGTGGCTAATTTGGAAATGAAGTCAAACTGTCCTTGCTTGTGAATACCTGGGTTTTAATAAGCAGAAAAAAAAAAAAACTCTACTAAAAATTGCTAGCACTCATAAATTTAACAAAGTTGAAAACTAAAATATCAGCACTTTAGAAAAATAAGAGCAATTTTTATACATAAATGAAAAGTCACTAAGGAAGATATAAAATATTCCAACTCACAATGACTGTAAGAAAGGGGAGGATGAGAAAGAATGGGAAGAAGGAATAAACAAAAAGAAAAAGGAAGGAAAAAGAAAACCTAGTGTTGGGAAGAGAAGGCATCAAGAGCCCAGTTTATATTTAAACAAAGATGGAGGTGATGTGGCCATCTGGTGAGCTGTGGGTCAGCACAAAATGACTGCCACACCACAAGTAAATAGTGATTCTCTGCTGTGTAACTGTTCCTCACAGAATGCCATTGTGTGTGTGTGTGTGTGTGTGTGTGTGTGTGTGTGTGTGTGTGTGAATTCTGTATAAATATGGCCATGAGGTCAGAGACCTAAGCTTTTCACCTCCATTTTGCCAGCGTACCTGTGTGTTTTTCTATACATGTTTGTCTACTTCCATGTGGCCTCTGTACCAATCTGCTTGTGTCTTTATGCCTGCCTCTATGTGGCTCATGTGTGACACCATGTGCCTGGGTGCCAGCCAGTGGCCCCTGGGCTGGTGAATCAAGTGTGCCTTATGTGCCTGAAGCCTGAAGCTCTTCACTTCTCTTCGAATTCCCAGCCTTCATGACCCTCCTCTGTTCCTGGCATCAGAAAATGTACCTCATCTGAAGCAATGTATTTAACACACAGAGAGACACACAGACACACAGACACACAGACACAGACACACACACACACACAAATTCTAAACCCCAGAGCTGGATAAATAGTTCAGAAATTGAGAGTACCTGCTGCTCTTTCAAGAGACCCAAGTTCAGCTCCCAGCAACCACATGGCAGCTCACACCTGCCTATAACCTCAGCACCAAGGTAACCAATTCTCTCTTCTGACTTCTTTGCCTACATACAAACCCCATGACACACCAACACTCATACACATACTCACACAAAAATAGAATTTAAAAAAGAAAATCCTAAATTCAATTGCAAAGAAACCGTGAGCAAAGAACTGAGAGACATCAAGATGCCTAAATTCCAAAGGTACTCCAAAGCAGCATCACACCAGCATGAAATAGGATGATGACCCATGCAGCAGAAGGGAGAACCCAGGAGGAAGGGCATGGATTTGTCGCCAGCTGGTCTTTAACAAAGGGATCAAACACATACATTAAGGGAAAAAACAACAACAACAACTAGTAAATGGCTCTGAAAAACCCAGAGATCCATATTCAGACAAACAAAATGAGATCCCTATCTCTTACCACATGCAAAAATCAATCCCAAATGCAACAAAGATAGAACTATGACACTCTTAGTACTTGTTAATATTGCCTTTTGTTTTGTTCTGTTTTGTTTCATAGGCCTTAGAAGCAGGGGAAACAAAAGGCAAAATCAGCAAATGGACTTAAATCAAACTAAGACCATCTAGCATACTACTGAGACAGTCAACAGAGCAAAAGGTCACTCTATATAATTAGAGAAAATACTTACATGTTCTTCAGACCAGGAGAAATATCCAGAATATGTATCAGGAGAAACAAAACATATCAGATACATGGCTAAAGCCATGAATAGAAAGTTTCACAAAGAGAGTCTTTACAAACAGCCAATATATGAGAAAAATGCCTATGAGGGGATCAGAGGTTGTCTACGCAGCCTGCAGCCCTTCATCTGGCTTCCCAGTGCTCCACACAGTCTGCTCCATAGTGCTGTCCCGATCACAGAACCCTCATTTATCTCACTGCGCTCCAAGTTTCATGAAGACAAGGGCAGTGACTACTTGATTCACCCAATCCCCTCAGCACACACAGAGCACTGCCTTTACCTGGTAGGTGCCCAGGGAAGAAACACTTATTGAATTGATATTCCAGTGAATGAAAGTAATTAACACAATGTTTCCTAAGAAGTGTTCCTCACACAGGCCAAATGGGTGCAGGGAGAGGAGATCAGCAAATATCTGTTATATAAACCCACCCCCAAGCCTTGAACTTACAAGTGCAATGGGGAAGCAGGTGAGAAGCCGTCTTTAGCTCTGCTCCGCTCCGTCCTCTTGCGTAGGGAAGGGGGAATATTTCGCCCCCTAGTGAAGGTGAAACAGTAAGTATGAACACTGGGGCTACCGTGGTCTTACTTCACAAACTGTCCTCCCCAGAAAAGACCTTTACAGGCCGCTGACTTGAAGTCCTTTCAATATAACGTCTAACCCCACTTACCATGACTATAGAGAAAGAACATGTTCAGCAGTAGTTAACTAGCCCAAATGCCTAATGTGGAGAAGAACCAGGACTTCCAACATGTCTCTTCTCCTCTTGTTCTCCCCAGCTTCTAGACCTGGGATAGTTCTTTAAACCTAAATGCCTTTAGCTTAATGATACTAATAATCAAGGTAGGAGGAGACTTACCCAGAACAAAAGGTCACAGGCTCTGCCTGACCCACACATCCAAGATCACACCCTCTACAGAAAGCCCATGGCCATCACACACACACACACACACACACACACACACACACACACACACACACACACGAGTCCTCCTCAGATGTTCTGTTTATCCTAGAAAGATGGAAAGGACTAACCAGGAAATAAATTAATTTAATACTGCACTTGAAAACCGTCTTGAAGCACCTCCATAACAGAGCAACAGTAACTAAGGAAATAGAGCATACTCAATGGAAAAACACCCCCACAGGAAGGGACATTTTTAAAAACATAAACACTCCCGAAACTGAACCAAATAAGTTGTAGAGTAAGTCTGCCATTGCCAGCTATTCATAAAAAAATATGTGAAATACAGTTCTCCTGGGAATCATTCAAGAAGGAAAACTTTACTTCATTTCACTTCATTTTCGTTTAGCTTTCACCAAAAAAATATGTGATATAAACAGATATGCAATCCAGGAAGTAGGAAGGTCACACAGTGGGCACCGAAGCTGAAGCCTGGCAGAGAAGTGGTAGATCCTTTCTTTCGAAATCAACTTAACAGTCAAAAAAAAAAAAAAATTATAGCATACAAAGAACCAACACTGGGGTTGTGTTTTTATTTCCTTTCACTGTGGACAGACTGTTTCACTGGCAGAGTGTCTGTTGCCTAGGTGACGGCCAGACTAAGCAACAGAAAACTCCAGCGCCTCAGCGTCCAGGACCTGGCTTGTGACAGATGACCTCTTACTCTCTGCCCACCAGAAGAGTTCCGGGAAGAAAAATAACACCCAAAAAATTGAAGAGGTGGTGCTCAGCTTTAGCAAACTTAGGCACTGTTGCTAAACTGAAAACAGGGTACACTTTAGAGTTCTGCTGTGACATTACCAGAACTTCTCAAACGCTGTTTCCTTTAAACCAAGACCTAACGTGGCAGATGATGTTTATTGAGGCAGGTGTGAGGGGCAAAAAAGCTGAGGGTTCCACATCCAACTTGGGCTAAAATCACTCAGTTTCTCTACCCAAAGTGCAGATGATTGAAACCTGAGTGAGGACCAATCCAACTAAAGATTAGAGGGGAGAGGGAAGGGGGGAAAGGAGGGTAGAGGGAGGAGAAGAAGGAAGAGGAGGAAGAAGGAGGGAAAGGGAGAAGTGGGACTTGATTAAGAGAAACACAGGGAGCGCCCAGGGACGTCCCTGCTCCCGAGTTCCAGCCCCATTTATCAGACTTGGTCGAGGCAGTCGGCCTGTCTAGACTCCCACTTCCTCACTTTGTAAACCGAGGAGGTGAAATTCTTTCCAATCTGAATAGTCCCGGGTGGCTGTGCGCCTGGCCGAAGGAGACGAGAACATGCCTGATGGGCATGTGCTGCAGAAATCACAGAGAATCCGCACGGGTGTCAGGTGTCTGAGCTAGTCAAAGAAGCATGTGCCAGCCACTAGGGGAGGCTGAGTCGGAGTGCTAGGAATTGTTCATGGTACTTTCGTTTCTGTGACTTGCGGGTATAACACAGCATGTAGCTTTCGTATTACAATCTCAAAGCTATCCTGGCTGGGGGTGGCTCACCAGCGCTGATTT